GAATATGAACTTAGTTATGATATTCCAGAAAGTTGGTGGTTGTTAGTTGAAGATCAATATGATTATTTACAAAATTTGGCATTGAAGATTTTTTCTATTACTCCTCACAGTGCAAGCTATAAAAGAGTTTTTTTAACTTTAGGCTGGTTATATGGTAAAAGACATCAATGATTATCACTTTCAAAAGTTGAAGCAATGGCTAAAATTAGATCATTTAATATTTCTAATATTAAAAAAGAACTTGCTTTTGCCAGTCAAACATTTACTGAAGCTGAGTTACGTGATATGGTAATGGAATCAACTTTTTTAATGAATGATGATGATGACGATGATGAACATGATAATAATGATAATTTTGAAAATACTAGCATTGATACTTCTAATAATAATATCTATGTTGTGATTGAAGATTTGTTTGACTTGGATCAAGTTCCTTTATACCCTGAAAATGATAATGAATTTGTGGATGAAGATGAATTATCAGATATTAATGAAAGTGATAAAAATAATAGTGATTTGAATAAGAGTCAAGAAGAAAAGGATGATAATTCATCTAATTACAATTATAATATTAAAGAATTAATAGCAGAAATGATGTGGGATAATTCTGATTATAGTACTGTTGAAGACGACCAATGAATTTACAATTGTAACAAAAAGAACTAATGAATATAGCTAATAAATAATAATTTTTGGTAATGAATATTATCGTAAAGCTTAAAATTGGTTTATTTTATGTTTTTATAATCAATGTTTTACGAATTTATACAGTATTATAAAAATATACACAAATATTCTTTTGTGAAAAACCTGAATTTGTATAATAAGAATTTAAAGAATATAATAAGTTTTATTTATAAATATTCTAAATAAATACTGATTTAAATTATTTACAATTGAATTGGTTAAGTTTTTTTTATAAATTTGGGTTTCATATATAATTTGAGTTTCGTACATAAATTCAGATTTTGTAATTTCGTATTTTAATAACGCGTGACAAAACAAGTTTCATTTTGTCATGTGACGAAACGTTTCGTTTTCAGATGCATTATTATCAGAGACGTCAATTATTGCAAATTTGTTAATAATTGACTATTCCAAACGTCGGAAATGTCAATTATTGTATTTTTGCAATTGATTAAGCGTTCTGAACATCAAAGCGTTAATTATTGCAAATTTGTCAATAATTAACTGTTCTAAATATCAGAGGCATCAATTATTGTATTGTTTACAATTGATTGACCATTCCAAATGTCAAAGGTGTCAATTATTGCAAAATTGTCAATAATTGACTATTCTGAACATCAGAAGTGTCAATTATTGCATTTTTTGTAATTGATTTACTATTCTAAATGTCGCAAGCATCAATTATTGCATTTTTTTGCAATTAATTGATCATTCTGAATATCAAAAGCATAAATAATTGCTAAATTCAACTAATTTCATTCCTCATGATAACACATGTTAATTGCTGCAATTTTTTTTAATTAAATATGTGTTTTGATTAGTATTTGATAATCTGGATGATTAGCAGTAATTTTTAATCAAAAAATATTGATTTGCACAAATGATCTTTCTAGATCTGTAATATTTATTGATTATGTCATAATACATGTAAACATATACTTTTATATTTATTATTTTTTTTTATTTTTTCAAATTTGTTTTTTTTTCCTTTTTTTTCAAATTTTCAAAATTAAATTTTTTTTTAAGATAAATTTTTTAAGTCATAAATTTTAATTAAGATTTTATAAGTTTTAAATATATCACATAATTATAAACCTTTTATTGAAATTACAACAGAAAAAGCTGATTTATGATTATATTTTTGTAAAAATTCATATGGATAGTTTACAAATGCTTGCGTTAGATGAGATAGTGGAAAGGCTTAGTTTAGAACAGTGATCATGCGAAGTGCCTTTAGTCTTGCTTGAAAGATTTTTTTCGATTAAAAATACTGCATATAATATACATTATTTATGATGCATACAAGTGTTTTTAATATACAGAAATTATTAGAACATATTTACATTTCTTATTAATAATAAATCTCTCCATCCTGCTCTATTTGTTTGGCGATTGTGATACAGATGTAATACTCCTATTCTATGGAAATGCATTGAGCTAAATGGTATGGATGATCAAATTCAATTAAAAAAAATTTTAAAAATAGTATATAGTAAAGAGCGTAAACCAATTTATAGCTTAAAATTAACTTATATTAAAATATTAGACTATCAGCTTGCAAATAAAAAAATCAAAAGCATTGTACATAAATTCTAAAATATAATTCATTTAGATTTTGAAGGAAGTATGGAATCTGAGTCAGTTGGAAAAGTTCTAAAGCTAATAGTAGAATCATACCCAAATTTGAAGTATCTTAATATATCTGCTTTATGTAATGCATTTTAATCAAAAAATGATAAAGGTCTAACTGCAATTGCAGATTCATGTCATAAATTAGAATATTTAAATATTTCTAATCACAGAGAGTTTTCTGAAATATCAATTTGTAATATTATTTGTTCTTGCCCAAGACTCTGACAACTTGATCTTAGCTATTGTGAAATTACTGATATAACTATCGAAAAAATTGCTAAATCATGTCTTAATTTAAAATATCTAAATCTGAGAGAATATTATAAAATTAGCAAAGAAGCTATAGATCAGCTAAATCCAAATACCTATGTCGAGAATTTCTGGGATGCAATTGATATTTAAGCTAATATAGAGTGAGTGATAGAGCTAATATCAACACGACCTCTAGTTGCTAATATTAGAACTTGGTCTCATCGGGCATTCTGGCCTCCTAATTCTAATATATTTATGATAGTTGACTCTAGTGCTGATTATCCCATTATAACTATAAACAGACAAACACTGACTTAAGGTATCATTTCCACTTTAATGTCAAGATCTGTTGATAGATTACTCAATGATCAAGCAGTATGGTGGAACTCTACTGATTTAACTAATTCAGAGCAGGTATTATTAGCCTGAAAGAATTTTTTTTTGCATCTAGATACGCCCTATATGACAAAAAATATAGATTAGCTAACCTGTTCTAGACATGAGCACTGGCTAGCACTAGATAGATTTTTGACGAATATTTCATGTAATTGTTAAGGAGAGACCTTTGGAAATAATGGTAATCTTCTCTAATAAAATAAAACATTTTTACTCCCCTATCGATAAATTTTATATTAATATACTTGGAACATCTTCTAAGTGGCCATGGTATTTCTCAAACTTTCGAAGATATTCTCATGTAGTTTTATCAGCCTCTTCTGCCATTTCTTGATTAGTGTAACTAACAATATTGAGTTCTTCCTGAATTGCTATTATATTCTCTTCTAAATACATAAGCAAATTAAATATCTCCTTCAATGAAATATCTGTAGAAGCTTCATTGCTTTGATATTCTACTTCTAGAATAGGATTATAATCAATGTTGAGATTCTTCTGTATCAGCATTAAATCCTCTACCAATTCTAATAACAGTTCATATGAATCGGCAAGTATTTTCTGCTGTTTTACTTCAATAATTGCTATTTGATTTGCATTATCACTAATACTGAGTTTTTCCTGAATAATTATTATATTCTTCTTCTTATATAATAGCACTTCATATAATTGATTAAACATTTTGGAATTATTTGCCATGATTGCTATAATAAAGTAATATATTTAATGTGAAAAATTTTGAGTCTAGAATACAGATCATTATCACAGGGTGATCACCAGCTCAGAAGAATTTGCTGATCCATGCACAGCATCTGTCACTTCATTTTTTTTTGAGATTTTGAAAAATCCTGATAGCTATTCACCCTCCCTTGTACCTTTGGCACTGCAAGAGAGAGTTTATCCTAATATTTTATCCTGATAACGTATCTTGATAGGTTATCTTTTTTCAAATGAATATGAGAAAAAAGGATCTTTCACAAATTTTAAGCTTCATGTGATACCGAGGAACTTCAAAAGAAAATATGACCATATGGTATTAATACTGATGAGATCAAAATATCTCTTGGCAAAAAATCGTAAATCGGTTTATAGTTGACTAAATAATCTACCAATTTTCACTAATTTGAATACTAACATTTTGATAATACACAGACATGCAAACTGAAATAGTTCATTGAGACAATATATTACTGAACTTGAGGTTAAGAAAGCTGAGCTTAAAGTTGAACTTGAGGTCAAGAATTCTGAGATCTCTGAACTTAAAAAGAAGCTTGTTAAGGTTGAAGCTAGGAATGTTGAGATAGAGGCCAGAAATATGAAGCTTATAAAGCAGATAATAGAAGAAAATAACCAACGTAATGCTAGAATTGAGGATACTAATGATAGAGTTGCGAAATTGGAATAGAAGTAGTTGCAATATCATAGGAGAACTATCACATGATTGGTCGATCGATTTCAATTGCATTTATACAATTTAAAATATATTTCTTAGAATGCAACATTTCACTAATAACAATCACCACAATTATCATTTATAGCTTTAGATGAGCGTCAATATTCATTGTGCAAAAGAATCTCAAAAAGATCTTAAACCTCATATACTTTACTTAGAAGATAAAGATGCCATCAGTTACTACTAATAAGGGACCTTGTGTGATCGCTATATGTAAGAAAAAATCATTCAACTGGAAAACTGTAACTGAATATGTTGTTTCTAAAGGTTAAGCTAACAAAACTTTACCTATTTATATTTAAGTAGGCGATTCAATTTGCTTAAATTGTTACAATGGAATTGTGATAAGGTGTATAGCTGAATTCCAACAACATGCCGAAACTGAATTTAAAAATTCCCAAATAGAATAACTTGAAACTGATGAAATTAATGAAAATAAAAGTACCAATAATTTATCCTTTTCTGAAGCAATAGAAGTATTGACAAATGTTTTATATATTCACGAAAATAGAGAAAAAAAATCTACAGTATACTCATTTGACAAATTTAGAGAAATCATGGAGAAAGAAGACATAAGGTTAAAGTATTTTTTCAAAGAAATGTATTTGTCATTTAACCCATTATCGAAAAATAAGGATTCACAGATATAAGTGAAAAACAGCTATTATTTGTTTGTTATTTTCTTTGTGGAATCCATAACAAATTCGTGAATAATGCAAAAAGAGATCTATCAATGTATTTAAACTCTACCGGTTCTCCTAACACTTCCATAGATACTCTTGCTGACTTAGGTATCACCACAACATCTCGTATGATCACTCGATATAAGACATCAATAGCGAATGAACATGCCAATACCGTTAATTCTGCACTTGCAGAATGCATTGAGAATGCAATGGTATTAAATATTGATGACTACCACAGCATTCATACAAAACAGATGCCAAATACGACTACTATATTAACTGCTATGCATTTAGTGACAATATTAATGAATCCAATTATGACATAGCATGCAATTCCAAAGATTAATGCACATAATCCTATACTGGTAGATGTTAAATTGATTAAAAGTAATATTGAAACTAAGTTTATAAAACTTTATGACCTTTTCCTGATAAAACACGATTAGATGAACTAACTGTTCATACTTATGATATTAGGTTGAAAGAGAAATAAAACCTTCATTCAATAAAGAATGTCATTCTAATAGATTTACAGGAAAATGACCTCTATTCTTTAGATGCATACATCAAAGCTATTAATGCTGTGATGAATATTCTGTCTATGCAACGGTATATTCAACAAGGATATATCATTCCCATTATTGCAGATTGGCCTGGACAGATTTATCTGAAAACTGCTATTTCGCACTACTTATGTCATTATAATTCACCAAACATTACTGATAATATTCTATCTTTTCTTTCATAATAGGTCCTCTATACATTTCGCTAAATAGCTAAGAATTAGTTTTCCTTCAGTACCAGCCTTTTTTTCAGCTATGTATACATATATATTTGGAGGAAAAAAATCTCTTGCACAAAAACCCAAACCATGGCGTATCAATCTTTTCTTAGAAATTTCTCGTAGTGCTTGGCAAGAAATTTCTATGACCATTGAAATAAAATTCAGACATTTGTGCAAAGATCCTGAATATCTTGCACTTAGAAATTTACTTGATAATACGAGTCCACTTGTATTGGATGTATATGCAGTGTTTTTCTGATCAGATGATTTTAATACCTATTTAGAAGCTTGTTTTCGAGTTTTGACAATATTCCTTAGATTTCATCGCCGAAATTACACTAAAGCGCCATTAATCTTTTTTTCTGATATCTTTTATTGGGAATTAACTGAGTATCTGATTTTAAAGACTATTAAGGCTGAACTTCCAAAGTTTTCAGATGCAACTGTGAAAATATTTCACAGTTTTCTACGCAGAAGTACACAGAAATACACAGAAGCATAACAGATCATCAAATATGGTCGTTGCATTAATTATTTACGTTCAGATGATAATGGATTTAGAGAGAACTTTGCTCATACATCTACATAGGCAGCATTTGAGTATTCTGCACGAGATATAACATTTTTGACAAAAAAATGCACTTGTTTTTTATTGCAATCTTTTTCAGATATGTATATGCGTTTATTTATTCATAGAGTACTAATACTATTTCTATTACAGATAAATCCATCTCCAAAGCAGAAAGATGTAGAAGTTTTATTAGCTACAATGAAAATGCCAAAAGCGCAACTATGCCATCTACTTTTGGGTTTTAGTACTATAAATAAACCAGATCAATTTCGATATTGCGATGCAACTAATTGTTTGTTTTTTTAATTATTAATATAGATGATCCTATTGAAGTTCTGGCTTGTAGTCACACATACCACAAGTCCTACTATAGCACTAATGGATTTAAATGCTTACATTGTCTTTCATTCTTACATAACGGTATTGATGAATATGTTAAATCCTTATTGGAATCCTTGCAAAGCTTAGACAAAAAATGAAAAGTACAGGTTGAACCAGAAAATGATATTCCCTGTGATGATGATGATAATGAAAATGAACCAGTAAACTATGTGACATTTGCATTAGAAGAAGTATTATGGAAATTTCAACAATAATAAAATAATAAAAATTTTTTTTTTACATTTTTTTTTAAATTTTTTATTATATATATTATATTAAATAATAAATTTTACTTTTTACTTTTAATACTCTTAATTTAATATAACAAAATATAAACCTTATAAACATTAATTAGTTTTAAATATAATAGTTATTTTATTATCATATGTAACATATATAAATAATTACAATATCAATAAGAAATTTTATGTAATCTTATCACCCAATAATATGAAAGTCCTCCTATGAGTTGCAAGATGATGCTTCTAATAACAACATATCTAACTTCAATTCAGGTGCAGAACATCATGAAGAGTCATTGGAAGATAAGGAAATAGACGATTTCTTGAATGAGGTTGATAAGAAAAAAATTGGTGATGATATTAGACGATACAATAAGGAGAAGAAACTCTTGTGAGAATCAGAAAAGATAGTTACCAAAGATAGGTTAGCAAATGTTAACTAACACTTCAAGTCCAGAAAGATATTGCGAATTCTGCTTCAGAAGAATTGGAAAAATCAGAGATTCAAAGTGATATCAAAATCATCCCACATGAAATAGAAACTAATCTAACAGAAGAACCAGCTATTTTGAAACCACTTTAGATTGATTCTGCTAAAAATAAAATGGAATCAATTGCACCTAAAAGCCTGACATCTTTAAGCATAATAACTGAATTCATACAAGATTTATTAGAAGAACCACTCTTATCTGGTAGTCAATCTCTAGAGTCTAAAAAGTTTTCTTCTCTCAAAACTATAGTTCTCAGATCTATAGATATTAAGAGGCTTGCCAATTTATTCTCCTAAGCAGTTAGTGCAAGAAAAAAATCGATCATAGCAAATGAGCAGAGATTTCATCCTGGGGTTGCTTCTCAGAAAGGTTTGAAAATAAAGTCGTGAAGCTTAGATCTAAGGATAAGAAACTTGCGGATAAGACTGCAAGAATACAAATTTATGCCGAAATAAAACCATACCTTACAGACATTTTAGATAAATATTTACGTGTAAGGACCTCTAAGGTAAGAAAAATCAATAAGTTATTTGAATTTGAATATGATTCTATAACCTTGAAAAAGGGTTAATGATATAGGATGACATATAGTTAGCAGATCACTTGTAGTGCTGATAAAATTCAAGGCTAACTAATCCTCAAATCGAATATATTATAAAACAGATCAAATCGAAGACAATCATTGATCAGAGTTATGAAAATGAAATCACCTCAACCATAGCCAATACATCAGCTAATGACCCCTTAGATGATAATTTTAGTGACATATCTGATGTTACAGATTATTCTAAGGAAGATGAAGAAGGAATAAATGATTCGATTGAGGAGGATTCTAAAAAGTCTGAAATAATCGCTAAGGCAGACAATAATAACAATATGTATTTTATTCTGAAGATGAGAAAATGAAAGAGGTGAATAAAAAGATTCCAAAGGTACCAGATATGATAGATGATGATAGTGACTGTAGCCATGACAGTGATTCTGAAAAAGAGATGTCAAACGATTCAGATGATAATGGATATAATGGATATAATGAAAACAGTGGATATGATAGTGGTTATTATTATCATGATGGAAAATGTGAAAGGAAAACCTCACCAATGATGAGTCCTATCATATCTCCAATATCTGGCCTCCTTCGGTCAAGACCTTCAGAAGATAGCGTAAGTTATCTTTTTTCGAATAAATATGAGAAAAAGGCTAAATTGAAATCAGCAAATTAATAGACATTAGGATTGCTATATTTGTTTTATGTTTTGTGATGATCGTAGCATCAGGGAGTGACAGTTCCACAGTATTATATTTCGCAAAATCAATTTACGATTTGTTAGTTAACTTCTAACCCATAATGTGATACAGTAAAATTTCCTAACTATTAATGCTATTTCAGGTTTCTGTGATTCAAATACTTCATACCTTAGCTTATTTTGAATCTCTCGATGTCTTGCATCTAGTCGAATTAGTTTGGAGTTTCTACAATAACTGGATTACGTTTTGTAGGCAGTTGAATTTTCAATTCTTATATAGTACTAATAATACATTTTGGGACTAACCTCTTTTTTCTCATATTCATTTAAAAAAAGAAAAGCTATCTGGATAAGCTATCAGATAAACAAACAGGACAGACAATCTTCTGCAGTGCTGAAGGTGCAAGAGATGGATCATCATCACTTCTCAGGCCACTTTGGCGATGTGACCTCTCTAAGATTCTTTCGTGATTATGTCTAAATAATTGACTTTACCATTTTCTGAATAACTATGCATCCAGTGATCAGAATTTCACAAATTTTGGCTTGATGGATTTTCAGAACCTACTAAATCCAGTCGTTCAATCCTCATCAAAATTGGTCCATTGGTTATCGACATATTCGTGTGATATCAGGAAATTCTTGCTGAGATTTTTTTCTGATATATCATGCGCAGTAAGACGTTATTGAAATTAAGTGACATTATCATATAATTAACCAGTAGATCCCGCTTCTACTGGTTGGAAGTGTGAAGAGTCTTCATGATTATCATATGACACAGCATGTATCATGGGCACCAGTCCCTTATTTTCGCATGTATTGCAAATAAAAAATGTTTAGGATACTAAATAACCCGTCATTTATTTTTCTTGTGTGAAAGGTGATTGGTATGATTGCTTTGGAATCCACATACTAATTTTTTATTGCTCGAGTGTATATGTATATTAATACAGGATAATTTAGGAAATCGGGATTGGCAAATTATTAGGCAATAAGATTGCTAGTAAGATCCAGGGACTTTTATTTTTAAACTTTCTCACATATTCTCAAAATTATTACGTATATTATTGTAAAAGGACCCCTTGATGATCTTTATGGATAGCATTAAATTCTTTTATTGTTATATTAAGAAGAGTCTATTGATCAGATTTTTGTGATGCATTCATATTAACATAATTTTCCCCAAAAGTGTATTCCAAAATCGATCCTGAAAATATATAAAAAGGTGATGTCCCAGTTAGTGAACCCTTTTATTCACCTTGCACAAGTAAAGCAAAAAATAAAACAAAAATAAAACTTACCATTATTGCACATCATCAATAATAACATTAATCAGATGAACTCATATATTCCATGCAAATTAATAATAAGGTATGTTGGTTTTGTTGCTTGGCTAGCTTCTAGAAGAACATCATCACAATGTTAATCGATTTTTCCGGCTCTATAGATGCTCAAAGTCAAAGCGGACATATTACCATTCTTTGATCTTTTTGATATTCGCAGAGAAAATCGTGATCGCTAGCACGTGCCTTATCGGCGCAGTGAAATACAGAGGAAAAAAATCACATGACTGTAATTTTAGCCGCCCCCCTGCAAAAATTGGTAAGACTATTTATGTGACCAGGCACAATATATCAAATGGCAATGTTGGCGCAAAATCGTACTTGCTATAAAAAAATCCAAATATCTTAAACATATTAAGTAACGAATTTCATGAATATAAGACGGATTGGATTGGAATGTTATGAAAATGAATGGTGGTAAGCTTGAATCGAAAATATTGCATTTCTTTTTTTTTAAAACCCAATTGCTAATTCCCTGAATTCATGCTTGTAGTCTCGAAATTACTTGATCTTAGCGAAGTTTTCTTTCAGGGAATATAGTCTGTGCGGGTGGTAGTGATGAATATAGATAGGCGTAGATATGTGTCGGATAATTTATTTCGGAAATTTAGTATAGTAAAAGAGTGTGAGGGTGAGAATCACGTAAGCAATAGAAGTAGAAACAAATTAGTTATAGATATTTTTCGTAAATGTGAGAGAGCAAAGAAATATCTTGATGTTGGGACTCGCATTATATGGCCGTATTCCCTCCCTCTTTGATAGCATCATACATTTCATTCGCTTCTCTAATATTTTCTGATTATCAAAAAAATCATTAATAAATTTTCTAACCAAAAACCGTTAAGATCAGAATCATGTGACTTTATTAGTTCTGTAAAATATGCATTGCAATTATGTATTAAATACATTTCCGTAAAAGGGAAGTGGACCACAGACAATTTTTTGTGGCTTAGAACATGTATTAAAATTCGAAATAAAAATCTCTGATTTTGCTCGAACATGTCACAATCAACATCCACTTTCAAGGCTTTTTACGTTGACACCGTAGTCGGAAACTGGACATGCGCAAATATAGTAGAATATTATTGTTCAAAATCAGAACAAAAAGATAGAAAAAAAGTTCTTGACCGCATAAAAAAAGACCTCCAGGAAGTGGAGGAATCTAACTCATTTGACAAAATAAGGAGAAAAGCTCGAGAAATCCTAGACGACTGGAAGGTGGTACTATATATATATGTTAATAGGATAGGCTTCGAATGGGTTAAGAGGTTGATCTGAACAGTTATGAACTGCTCGTTCGACGCTGCGCAAGCTGGGACTGCTCGTCTAACAAGGATGATCTCTTATTTTTTTCTATATTGATATTGTAGTTATTGTGTAATTTTTCATGTTTCTAATTCTGTTTTTTTTTTCGCCAAGAACTGGACTACATCGGTAAAGCAAGATTGTGAATAAATCAGGATTAAGCATCTGGAGGTAAATCAACTTGCAACCGGAAGTGACGCGACATTGACATATAATGACAACCGTAGCATGAAACATCATCGCGATGCGAATGACGAAGGAGTTGCTACTCTGACAAAAAAGGTGAGATTGTCACATGTTACCTAAGTAACCATGAATATGATGTTTAAAGGTTATAATTATCTTGTTTTTAGGCTCGTAAGGCGTGAAACAATTGCAAGACAGAAAGTTCGGCATGCAGAAACGCATACAATAACGGTAGGAAATTTTTTATCAGAACATGTAGGTATCATATATTTTTATAAGTTTTTTTTTTATTTGTAATTAACTGACTAGCATTTACAATTGTCCGAAGCGTAGCGTAGGACTGTTAAGTCTGTGCCATACCCGTCCATTTTCTGTCTGTTACGCCACGTGTTACGCCCAATTAAATTTCGTGATCAGTTGTATCGCAATTTTTGTTTTGACATGTGCTATTTTAACGCGTTTATTTTTTAATTTATTTAACAATAGCGATAGTATAGCGATAGATTAAAAAATAAAATGATAAATATTCTTTAACAATAGATTTTTATAATAAATTGTGAAACTAATAAAATAAAGTTGAAAAGTTGAAATTTAACTTGTGAATTTTCTCGTGTATTTTTTGTATGATGCAAGTAAACTATACTCAACAATAAAATTGTAATACTTAAAAAGTTTTAAAAATTTTAAAAATAAATTTTAAAAGAAAATAAATAGGTAACTTTATACTTTAAGATGTATGCTATCTACATAAAAAGTTTAAGTTTGATCGATTTTTATATGATTGACCCATATTTGAAACAAATCAAATCACGTGAAGTTGATATTATTGGTCAAAACCTTTTTATAATTTGGGCCGAAATTATGATAACTTAATGCTAACCCGAATTGTTACATTCTGAGAAAACCCTTTTGATTGTGACAAAATCTTCACATGTTAGTGAAATAATTTTCTACTAATGTCACATAAAACAAAGCACCAACAACAAGTTAGCAAGATACCTAGAAAAAAAGGATGTTATGTATCTCAAAGTCAAGTTGAAACTATCAGAGGAGAGATAGAAACTGTTGAAAATGAAAAATGGTTAGAAAATGAAATTGTTGAAGAATGGCTAGAGAATAAAACTATCAATTGAACAGAAGAAGAATTTAAAGAGTTTGATAAAGTAGAAAAGAGGCTTATCTCTGGAGTTCTTCGTTGGCATGAGGATACTGGTTGTAATATTAGAACAGTATATACTGGAGATTCGAGAACTACAATATGGAGAAAGGGAATAAAAAAAAATTGGGTGATGATGCAAAAGGAATGAGAACACTTGATACATTTTTTAAAAGTTCTGGAATTTTGCATTCATCATAACCATCACAATCATCTCTATCATGATTATATTCATCATTATTATCATCACCATCGCCATCTCTACTTTCAGAAATTTCTCTATTTTCTATTGATAATTTATATACACATTTGAAAGAAATAGATCAGCAATGTATTTTAACAAATTCTGCAAAAATAATGAAAAAATTCTTACCTATGATTATCTACGATGTCTAAGTATTCGCAGGTTCATTCAGCTTTTACTAGATGAACAAAGTAAAATGAATGCTAGCAATAATATTGCACAAATCATATGGAATAAAGGAAACTATATGGTAAGGTGTATTCGGAAATAGGAAACTCATTATATACAAACAGGAAAGCTTCTTATTTATCATCAAGGGAAATATACGAAACCAGAAAACTTGGTAAATAATGAGGATTTTAAGAAAGAATGCCTTATATGGTTACGACAGTAAGCATCAGAGTCACATTCTCCTAAAAATCTAAAACTTATATCAAAGGAACGGTATTTCCAAAATTAACAGGACATATTAAAAAAGAAACAGTTTATGAGAAACCCTATCAAAATTATATGCATAAGTAGGGATACAAGTATAATAAAAAAAGGGAGTTTATTATGATGGATACGAGAGATCAGATGTGGTAGCGTATAGGAAAGAATGGTTGATTAGAATGTTTAAATATAAGAAATATATGAAAGACTATGATGATAATATGTTAGATGTCATTTTGGAGCCTCAACTTAAGCTAGGAAAGAAGAAATTAGTGCAAGTAACATATGACGAATGTCACTTCTATGCAAATGATAGACAGCAAAAAATTTGGATAGGAGAGAATGAGGATATCTTACGTTCAAAACATATTGGACGTTCTATTATGATTTTAGCTTTCCTTTATCTGTGTTATAGATTGTTATAACTATCTGATGAACAATTGCAAGCAAATCCACATATTAGAAATAAAGAAGCTTTTATTCTTTGATCCATACAAACAGATGGGTATTGGAAGTCAGAACATATGTTAGATCAGGTTTGAATTTTTCCTTATTCATAGATCTAGATTGAATTATAAAATTTAAGAGAAAAATTATTAAAATTTTTTCTTATTTTAGCTTGTATATCAAGCAATCCCAATATTCAAAATATTACATCCTGAGTGTGTTGGTATTTTTTGCTTCGATCAATTAACAAACCATAATGCTATGGCGGCTGATACACTTGTTACAACAAAAATGGATTTAGGTTTCAGAGGAGTACAACCTAAAATGTGTAATAGTTGGTATATTAATGAACATGGTAAGAGATGTGTACATTCAATGATATTTTCAGATAATCATCAACTGAAGAGACAACCAAAGGAAATCAAGCAAATACTCAAAAGAACACAATCTTTGACTAACAAATGGAATCCATCTAATATGTGAACAATGTTCTGAAAAATGTGATGATGTTGATCCAGAGAGATTAGATTGTTGTGTACGAAAAATAATGTCATTACAACCTGATTTTCAAGAATAACAGTCAATATTGGAAGAAGCAATAATTAAATCAGGACATATTTTTGAATGTTACCCGAAATTCCATTGTGAGTGCAACTTTATAGAGCGATATTCCCTATAAGAAATCGAAATAAGGAAATGATACGTTTTTTATAAGGTTTGTATACGTAATTAATGATTCTATATCA